GTATGTCATAGCTGCACATCCTTCTAGTTGCTGCATGTGGGACTCGGCCTCAGGATGGACGGAGAAGCGGTGCCTCGATGCGCACCCGGGATCCGAACCCAGGCCACCAGCATTGCAGCGCGCGCACTTAACCACCAAGCCACAGGGCCGGCCCAAGTCATAGGATTTTAATAAGCAGATATTTAGGGAGATGTAAAAGTGCCCAAAGCTAGTGTTTTCAAACTGCTTTTTCTTTTCTTGGCTTTTTGGTATGTTCTATTTGTTTGGTTTGCTTTTCTAGTTCATCTTTAATAACAACTGAATACAGTTAAAATACTTCCTTTGTTCTTTATTCTTCTTTATTTCTCATTGCTTTGGACTAGAATAACAGCCTGAAAGCTTCTCCCAGGGCGTGGTCCAGACGATTTTGTTTGAGGGAAAGAGTAGGTATTCTTCTTCGTGCCTTTGCTTTTTTGTAAATTAACAGGATTGCTAAGACTGTCAGACAGTAGACTATCAAAAATGAAACAATCACTAAATTAAATTTAATATTTCTTGTCAGACTTGTTTTCATTTTTGGCAATAGAGTATATAGGAGTAAAAAAATTACTGGTATGTGGTATTGCTGATAGGTGAAATAAGTTTCTCAAGTGAGATTTTAAGGCCACGGGCACTAAAATTTTTAAAAATCAATTCCAGCCAAAGACTAATGCTAGATTTATTTAGTTGGTGCTCACAGCATCACTATTCTCTTTATACCCCATTTAGAAACCAAATGTGTCAGTTTGGTTGATATGCCCTGAAAATCCTTTGTTAAAATCTTATCCGAGATAGCTGTGCTCTCTCTACATCATGAATTGTTCTTTGAAAAACCTCATGGACCCTGCCACCTCAGGCACAGCTTACCTCACTCAAACCTCAGATCACTTTCGACATACTTGTCCTACCAATCAGAGGCGGCAGAAACTCAACAAAAAGTTGGCTTCTGAATGTGGGGCCTAAACTAGTCACTTGGGGGGCACGTTGAATATCACAAGATTATTGTGAGGAGGTCATGTGTATGCAAGCTATGAATTGTATTTCTGTTTTATGATTAGCCCTGATAATAATACAATAACATACCAGTTACTTTTCTTCTATTATGTGATTAGTTCCTGTGTAAACACTCCAGTACTTAGAGGGAACATTAAAAATGAAAATTCTTTAATTTTTATTATAAAATAACTAGCACTACTGTTGTGCTTAATCCTCTCTGTACTTTAGAGGCAGAGCAAATTTTGATTCCTGTTTTTTTTTTTATCACATATGATTCAGCATTTTTAAAGTACACGTTCTTGCTTTGTTTAAACCATTTGTAATTTTCTTTAAATAATATTTAGATTCCAAGATGATTAAAAAGTTCCTTTTAAGAATAACTCAATCCAACTGTAGAAATTAGCACAGCAAATATGAGATATATAATGGATACAGGGAAGAAAATTACTGTGACATTAAGAAAAAAATCCTAGTGCCTGGGAATGTAATTCTGGTCAATAAAAATACATTGTGCCGTGCTTTGCCTAAAAACAAAGAATGGATTAGTTGGATAATAAAGCTACAGCTACTGAATATTCTGTTGAAATTCAGATTATTTTTGGCCAAAGTTTTGCCCACCTGGCAGTCATCCTGCCGTACTTAAAAACATACAGATTCCTGGGCTTCCCACCTTCCCTCCCAGGCATGCTTAATACTAGTGGGGGGCAGAAGGGTGGAGAATCTGTATTCTTAAACACCTCTCCTGGTGATTCTGAAGACTGGCCAGGTTTGGGAACCCTAGAACCAGGCTTTATTGGTAAACTCTGAAGGTGCTTGGGTGAGGTTGCCAAAGGAGGGCGAGGGGCAGCTTGGTTTATGATTCTTTTTATCTTGTGAAGATGTCATGGAGTGGGAGCATCCAATAATAGTTCTGTGAGAAAAGCATTTTGTTTTTACTGTGGTTGCATAAAGAAAGTAGACCTTCCCAGAAAAATATCCTTTTTGAAGTTATAGGGGCCAAGTGGTTTTATATTATTATTTTACATACTCCAGTGAGGATTCGTAAAAAGAGGATGTCGGTCTCATGCAGGGCCCTGTGATTTAAACTATTCCACCCAAACAGTTTCTAATAAATGCTAAAGGCAGCCTTTGCCTTCTCACCTAAGTAGAATGTAACTGATATCAGAGCTTACCCATAAGGTCTGAGGAACATTTTGTGGTGAATGAGCTCAGGGCTGAGATCCATGGGTGGTGGTTTCTGGTTCTATTTCTGCCACCTACTGACTGTGTGACCTTGGCCAAGTCTCGTCACTTGTTCAAATGTGTTTTCTTATATGTAAAGTGGAGGTTTTGGACTAGGAGATTTATGGTCCTTCCAGCTTTCCATGATTTTAGGCTTGGATAAAGTGTGGAGTCATGGTACTTACCCTTATCAAATTCACCTTCTGGTTAGTGTGCCCTAAACTCCTAGAGGAGTATGAGTGAGCTTGCCACCGAATCTCCAATTTTTTTTGAGCCTCAATGGAGCAAGATCCCCAGTCATTGGAAAGATGTCAGCTGATAGTAACTTTGCTAGCCTTCCTTAAAGAGTATGAGTTTGCTGTGTGCATTGCTTTCTTCTGAGAAAAAGAATGTGGTTTCCATTGTATATAAAGAGTTAACATCAGTGCTCCTAATATTTGATGATAACAGTCTTGGAGATATTGACTGCTGACATTTGGCAAATTTAATCAAAGGAAAGTTAGAGTATGTAATGAGACTTTTTGTATTTTAGAGGTTTTATAATCTACTTTGTTCCTGCAAATCTTCCTCCTCCCCTTTCCCTCCCCAAGAGAAGATCTTTTCTAGTGTGTAAACTGACCAGCTTTCCTTTTCTGTTGCAGGATGCAATTCGAAGTCACAGTGAATCAGGTACTTGTCCAGAGCCATTTAGCACATAGTGATAGGCTTTTCTCTTTATGCTATGTATCTTCTGTTGGCTTATCCATGTGTGGATTCTGTTTGTCTTGTCTGTTAAGCCTCACCTTCAGCCTTGTCCAGCAGCCCCAACAATCTGAGCCCAACGGGCTGGTCACAGCCTAAAACCCCTGTGCCGGCACAGAGAGAGCGGGCACCAGGATCCGGGACCCAGGAGAAAAACAAAATTGTGAGTAGGGCTAACAGTACTTTCTGCAGATTAGGGTTCAGTAAGAAAAACCTAGTCATAAATGAGAATATTTTTAATTTGGTGGGGAGGGTTTCTAATAAAAAATAGTTAATGAATATGTTATAAATGTCATTGCCATTTTTGGCATGCTTACATTGGAAAACCTGTTAGTTGTAAGGCAGAGTACAATTAAAATGGTGTTTTCTCAAAAGACAAAAATTGGAATTACAGTTAATATCTCTGTCTTTGAAAGATATGGGAATGGATGGAGTTGATCTTTTCCTTGACACCCTCGCTCAACAGACCTTTACCGTTCCATGGAGGATATTAATGATCTCTGCTTGTTTCAGAGGCCTCGTGGACAGAGAGATTCAAGCTATTACTGGGAAATAGAAGCCAGTGAAGTGATGCTCTCCACTCGGATTGGGTCAGGCTCCTTTGGAACTGTTTATAAGGGCAAATGGCATGGTAAGTTCTGGGCCCTCCCTTTATTGTGAGGCTTGGGATGAGGTGGAGTTTCAGTCCAGAGAGGGATAAGATTCATTATGCTCCACGGCTCACAGCAGCACTCTCCAGGGATACCTGATTACATCTGAAGATGGAACTTAATAATATCTCAGTGAAGTTTCATAGCATTCTTTTTAGACTCAATGATGCTGTAATTGGTAATGATTAAAGTTCCAGAATAATTAGGAATTGGTGAACAAAAGTTGAGCCCTATAGTCAAATGTCAGGGTCTCTTATAAATTGATTAAATACAATGTGCCCCTGGGACATGCTGTAAGCCCTGTAAGTGAGTAACAGTCTACTGCTATGAGGGGAGCATGGATTCTAGAAACTTAAAGCTGGAAAGCACCTTAGAGATTTTGCATGCAAGAAAACTGAGGTCCCGAGAGGCCAGCAGCCTGGTATAACCCATGTCCTGGGAGCCCCATCACATAAACCTAAGGCTGAGGTTTGTAAGTTTGACTAACTCAATAAGAGGAGGAGGAATGGTGTTCATCCTGTTCTGTTCTGGAAAGCAGGGGTGTGTATACTAAGTTTTAGACAATCCCAAATGGTTAAAACAAGGAAATGAATTGGTGTTTAAAAAGGTAAAAACATTCCAAATTCACCAAGTGATAATAGCTCTTCCTTCTTCAGTGGTGGATGAAGATGATACCAACTCAATATCTTATTAAAAAAATGATAACCAATAGGAATGTGTCTTAACTTGTTTGTATTACATTTGCCTCTGACTTTACTATTAAGGGAAAGTAAGTTCTGGTTTGATGAATAATTACTTCATGTACCATCTTTACATGTTGTAAGATTGCCAGCTATAAGGGTATTTGGATAATTCCAGAAGGAAAAGAAAAAATATTACTATAAATTTTATACTCATCTGAGAAACAGGTTTGAAAGGAGAGATTAGCAATAAGCAGTGTTACTGAACACATGTTGCACAGAGTGCTAGAGAGGTGGACTTGGGGTGATGCACTTGGCCCCCAGGACTACTGGGGGCAGGTTGGAGAGCAGCCTTTGTTTGGGGCCCAGACCTAATTCTACAGACTTGTGGCCAGGCAAGGCCTGGGGGCCGCAGGCTGGGCACTGAGTCCTGACATTCCCTGCCAGAAACTAATTCTTGACCTGTGCGGCAAGCAACTAAGTAGCCAGTATTCCCCGCCAGAGGCTGTGCCCACTTCCCACTCCAGAGCCTCAGACAGATGGCTTGTCAATTTATAACTTGCCTTGCTGACAGTTACATCTTAGAATTCATTCATTTCTTCATTTCTTGAGCATTCTCTAATACCAAGCATTCTTTTAGGGGCTAGGAATGAAGCAGTGAACAAAACAGATAAAAATTCTTTCTCTTATGGAGTTTATATTCTGGTGGAGATAATAACCAAGAAAAGTCAAGTATTATAGTGTGTTTTAAGTGCTGAGGAGAAAAATGGAGGAAAGCAGGTATGGAGTGGCAGTCCGGGCTCACAGTTTTCAGATTGGTAGAGGAGTTGTCTTCTGAGGAAGTGGCATTTGCGTGAGGCCTGAAGGTGGTACGGTTACCTGGGGAAGCAGCAACAGCAGATGCAAAGTGGGCCACTCACCTGGCCTGTTCTAGGAGCTCAAGGAGGTCTGACTGGCTTCAGTAGAGTGAGTGAGGGGAGAGGGTAATAGGAGTGAGGTCCGGGGGTGGGGGGTTGCAGGGTCCCATAAAGACTTTGGATATCTTTTGGGTGAAATGGGGTCTCACTGCAAGACCCTCAGGAGGTTTGGCGAGCCTTGGCCTGAAAACCAGGGTGATGGGCACTCGTTACTTGTCTGAGAACTCATTCTAGCTCTGGGCAGTTCCTACCAGTAGAAAACCATTTCTTAATATGAGTTAAATAAAATTTGTTTTCCTGTAACGTTTGCCCATTGTTCCTAGCAGATTGAATCCCTATCATGGCAATCCTCAGAGTATATATACATAAAATGTGGGGAGTGCTGTAGCATAGAGTATAGTCCCTGGGTTTCACTAAGAAATTGCACGTTATCTGTTATTGTAACCGTTAACCATGAGCTGGCTGGCAGGTGGTCCTTGCAGGTGCCGTAGGGCTCTGCCTTTGGTTTGACCCTGTTCAGTCTTCCCATCAGTGACTTGCATGAAGATTCAGGTATTGTGGATGACTTAAACGGAGGTGTATGCAGATTTGGATAATAGGATTTAGAAAGATGAGAGGATTTGAACAGACTGTGATGATGGGACAAAGAAAAGATGACGTTTTAACAGGGATGAGGCCTGTGCACTGTTCCCAAAAGTAGAGGCTAGAGGTGGAGGATATTCAGCTGACTGCAGGGTCAGAGTGAGTCACGTGAGCAGGCTTTGGCTGCCGGTGAATCCTTTGAGCTTTGAGGTTGCATTACTCATCAGGTCCTAGATGAGTGACACTGACGGTGAGTTCACTGACAACTAGAGCATGCCCAGAGGAGAGCTATGAGAAAGAGAAGGGATTGCAAAACTAGGCTCGTGAACTAGGAAGGTCTTGAGAGGCAACCCCTCCTGAGGGACCATCCAACATCTCCCCAAGCCTTCCTCCTGCACCCCTACCTTCAGTCTGTCCCTTTAAAGCCCTGCCCAGTGCCACCAGCACTGCCGTCCTCTGGCCCCGCCACTCAGTTGACTGCCATGTTGGGTCAGTTCACCTTCATAGGATTTCTTGCCTCCATCCCCTCCTTTTATTCCCATTGTCACCACTATGCCTGCATCTTGCCTAGGCTCTTGCAGCAGACTCTTCCCTGGCCTCCCTCTTATCCTGTAGGTGCCCAAATCGCATGCTCGAGTTTCCCAAACACAACTCGTGTTTCTCTCATCCCCCTTACCTCACCTTTGTTCCTTGTGTACCTAGTCTGGAAGAGCCTCTTCTCCTGTTGAGTAAAATCCTTCCCTTGGCTTATATCCTATTTCCTTCAGAAAATCTTTCTACATCCTCTCTGCAAAGAGATTTATTCCCCACTCTGCACATACCACCCTCTCCCCCCAGACTCCTTTCTTGGCTCAAACTGTTCCAGAATGAGCAATTATGCAAAAGACTCTTGTCTTCCTACTCATTTATAAGGAACTTGAGGTTGGGACTCCATGGTTTACCAGCTCCATCTTCTTAGATAGAAGGAAGCTCTGAATATAGCGTGCATCTCTCTCATCCAAAGTCAGCAGCACCTTCACAGGCAACCCTGGGACTTGGGTAAACACCTGTGCCAGGGAATTGGATGAGAACTAATTTGGAGGCTGCTGTTAAGTGGGGACTTCAGCTTTTTTTTTTAAATTTATTTATTTATTTTTTTCCCCAAAGCCCCAGTAGATAGTTGTATGTCATAGTTGCACATCCTTCTAGTTGCTGTATGTGGGATGCGGCCTCAGCATGGCCGGAGAAGCGGTGCGTTGGTGCGCGCCCGGGATCCGAACCCGGACCGCCAGCAGCGGGGCACGCGCACTTAACCGCTAAGCCACGGGGCCGGCCCGGGACTTCAGCTTTAGATGATAAAACCAGAGATCACAGGGCAACAGTTTGGGACCTAATATAAGAACCATCTCTCTACCAGTTGGTGCTCCCCTAAAATGAAATGAGGAGTGCTCCAACAGAAGCTGCCAGGGGGACATGGTCGATAGATGGAGGAACTAATTTGCTTCCAAGTTGAACTAATTCAACTAACTCTACTTTGTTTGATCCTCAGAAGGCCATGTTTTAGTAAATTCATTTGCCATGGAAACCTGAGGTCCTAATAGGGCTTCAAGTAATTGATTATAATTACTGTTATAAATATGACATAAAATCACTTTTGAAAGTGGCTTCTCAGTTGGTAGCGTGTATAAAGTAGAATATCCCTGGATGTTTCTAAAATTATATCAAGAGGCTGGTTTTACTCAGAGTGATTGACAGTCAGTTGTCAGTACTGTAGTTAGAAGTGCAGCCATTGCAGTCAGACTGGGGTTCTAATCCTGGCTCCAGCACTTGTGTTTTTTGGCTCTATGACCTTGGGCAAGTGACTGAACTTCTCTGTTTGCTGCCTGTAAAGTGAGGATAGCAGTAACTTACATCATAGGGCAACTATGAGGATTAAAGGAGAGAATGCCTATGAAAGCACACACAGTGCCAGGGTATAGTAAGCAATCAGTATTAATCATTAGGATTACTTTTAAATGCTATTGAAGGCAAAGAAGCTTAATTTCAATATGTCTGTGACTCTGTACAAAGGACCATCTCAGGTCTCTTGAAATGTGGCTGCTGAGTTTAACATCAACTGCTTGCTAAATGGCCTGCTTCCTGGCACCAACCTTCTGGCTCCCAGTATTCAGTATCTTTTGGGCCATTCATATCCACCACAGCATCATCTTCACAGGCCCAGGTTGTCACCTGTCACATACGACCTCACTGCTGGGGATGCCAGGCTTCATAGGAATAGTTTAAACCAAGCCTGTTGAAGGCCTGTGGGGCGATATTTTAAGGATAGTAGTATAAATTTAAATTTAGTACTGTTTAAATTTTTTCAACCACTTGAATAATTTAGAAATTTGCATATTCCATTTGTCTAGGGATATGATTTTTGAATAAGTGATTCACTATACCTTCCTCAGCACTAGGGTATGTGAAAAATAACAAAGTAAGATCATTCAACTGATGCACTGACTGCAAACTAATTTGCAGGAGATGTTGCAGTAAAGATCCTAAAGGTTGTCGACCCCACACCAGAGCAGTTCCAGGCCTTCAGGAATGAGGTGGCTGTCCTACGGTAAGTAGAAAGCTGACCTCGAGTGGTAGGGGCAGGGTGTGGGTGGTGGTACAGGAACTAGAGAGTAAGCAGGCTGCACGGCACAGAGCTTTCTCTGAGGGCCTGTGGCTGGGACGGGTGCTTAGTGAGTGTTAACTGTGGAGTCCTGTGGTTGAAAATCCTCCCTTACTAGTGATAGGGAGTGGAAGGTTTCCTTCCAGCTTATGTGGTAGAAGGGCCCTTCTCAAAGGCCCTGTGATGAGCATACCCCCTTCCACTGCTTTAGGTCTGTGGGTACACTACACTCAGTAGCCCAGGTTCTGTCTCTAGGTTCTGGTTTGAGGTAGGGAGAAATAGGGTCTATTTTCACATTTATTTCCAAGAACTCTTTTTATAGCCAAGTTGCCTTATTCTAGACTTCAAAACCTTCAGCTTTCAAATCTTTGAGTCACTATTTAGACTTGTAGGAATAAGTTGAATAATGATGGATTCCCCACATGAGGGGTCCTTGTGACCCCTGTGGGGAGAGTTGTGTGTACACGGATTAGAGAATGTCCTCTCTATAAACAAGGCCAGCACTGACGTGAACGACAGGTGGGCTCCTTTGTCAGCTCACAACAGCAACTGGATTATCAGCAGTTGCATGTTTGCTTTGCCAGCTACCCAGATTGTAAGCACTGGTGGCATCAGGAACACACAGGATCAGTGTCAATGGGAAAGAAGAGTAGATCTCCCTATTTTGCAGCAATGGAAAGTTCGTTCAGAGACTTTTCTCTCCTCCCCCCTCAGCAAAACACGACACGTGAACATCCTGCTCTTCATGGGGTACATGACAAAGGACAACCTGGCAATTGTGACCCAGTGGTGCGAGGGCAGCAGCCTCTACAAACACCTGCACGTCCAGGAGACCAAGTTCCAGATGTTCCAGTTGATTGACATCGCCCGGCAGACTGCTCAGGGAATGGAGTGAGTAGATGACCTGACGACTAGGTCTGGGGTCCAAGCATCAACTTGTCCCTAAATCGGAACCAAGATTAGGAAAAGTCAAGTCTGTTAAGTGATTTTTGTGATATTTTTGCACAGTTGAAAATGAGCCTCTGGGGTGGGCTGAAGGAATGAGAAATTTAGGTTCCTCGCTCAAGCTGAGGCTGCCGCCTTGGGGCTCAGATTCAGGTTCCAGCCACTGCCCTCAGAATTCAGCCAGACACCTAAGAACAGCATAGTGCAGGTTGGTACCTTCTGCTTGGACTGTCATGGCAGTGCTTTCTGGAGGCATTGGATATCTAGGCGTGGCCCATCGACAAGTGTGCTGCTTCCACATGAGGGTTCGATCAGATGTCATCTTTTTGCATAATTTATTTTCCTTTTTGAGAACACTTAAAGGGTCATCTTTAGCACCTCCATTAAATGCTACCCTTTTGGGTCTCTGTGCTTGACATATTTCTCTATGAAAGAGGTATGTCTGTGTGTGCATGTGTGTGCACATGTTCCATCCTTGGCTAGCCCAGGGCAGTACTACAGACTTTTCCTCTGAAATACCCCTTATGTGGAGGAGTAGGAATTCCTCATACCCCCAGATGTCTGAGAGGCTTAAGCTACAGCTGTGCTTGTAAGTGCTATATGAAATCTCATGTTCTACCTTTAAAATTCATAAGGACATTTTAAGAAATTACTAGTGCATTCTGTATATTTTAAGAAATAACTAGTCAGACTTAACTTTTTAAAATTTGAGATATAATTCACATATGAAATTCACCCCTTAAAAGTGTACAATTCCTGGGGGGTTTTTTAGTATATTCACAGAGTTGTACAACCATTACCACTATCTAATGTTAGAACATTTTCAAAATATAAGATGAGGTCTTTTGTGTCTGGCTTCTTTCACTTAATGTTTTTGAGAGGTTCATCGATGTGGTAGCATGTTTCAGTACTGCATTCCTTTCTGTGGCTGAATAATATTCCATTGTATGGATATGCCACGTTTTATTTATTTGTTCACCAGTTGATGGACATTGGGTTGTCAGAATTACTTTTTAAGTACAATTGCTTAAAGACGTGTCGCCCCATTTGTGCTGTGACCTCACCTTCAGGTAAGGTGTGATGTGGACCAGGCTGAACCAGCACAGGGCCAATCCCCAAATGTAACTCCTCACTGGGAGCCAGGCCTTCACATGCTTTACTTTTTAGCTGTGGTTTGAAGCTGCTTTCTACCCATGTCCCTCAAACTGTTTTTAATAAATTTATTTTCCCTTCACAGCTATTTACATGCAAAGAACATCATCCACAGAGACATGAAATCCAACAGTATCCTTTGGTGATGGTTTTATTTGCTCAGTTCTAAATTTAGGAAAACAGAAGAGAGACTTTTTATCTCAGCAAAAGTGACTTTGGAGAGTTCCGTAAGAGTTGATATGTGTTTGGGTTATGCTTGAAACAGGTCTGGTTTTATTAAGCTATTTATTGCTCAATTTAACTTAGGGGGATGGGGCTTTTGTAATTTATGTTTATTTCTAGTTTGTGGACAGTGTGTGTATCTGGTCAGAAAGTAACTGAAAGCCAGATGTTGCAAGATTTTCAAAATTACTATATAACATTGTCTTTCTTAAATGTACAGAAGTGGTTTCCTTAGAGGTCACTGTTGGAATCGACCCTTTCCCTTTCTAAGACTGAACATGTTTTTATAGAAGGGAAATGAATAAAGGTATTTTGCATGCTATAGGGCATAAAATGTAACAATTTTACATCTGCCTCCCTCCCCCAGTCATTCTCTTTGAAGAGCGTGGCATTACAGCTGAACTTTGCTTCTTGGCCAGTGAGAGGCACGACAGTTGTGTTGAGTTGGATTATGGGACATGGCCTATTTGGGGCACATGCCTGAGGCATGGAATACCTTTTAGTGATGGGTTTTTTGGGACCAACACATTATGCCCTGAAAGCAGACACCACAGATTTTAAGGAGCTATGAATTAGTAGGCATCAGCAGATCACAGGTTGGCCTTAAACTGCCTGACTTCTTTACCCAGAAATGAGGCGAGTTTGGTTCTGATTTTCAAGTCACCAAGTGGTACCTATTCTAGTGAAAAATATCTTAGGACAGCATTCAGCGCTCAGCGAGGGATTTGCCATTTTGTTATTCACGTGTGTTTCAGTTAGTCACGTGAGGGTCGAATGCAGGCGGGAATGAATATAAGCAATCAGCAGGCCATGCTCAGCTCTGAGGAGCACCAGAAGGCAGACTGTGCTCTTAGAGTCTTGGGGTTTAAGGCACCTACATTATGTGGGAAGGAAGATCACAAGGCCAGGGACCTGGTACCTAGATGTGTAAATGGGGAGAAGCAGGAGGAAAACTGGCTTGTTTTTGGTTCGAGCCAAATAATCTGGCAACCTGAGCAATCCCTGCGTGCCTCCTGGAAGAAGGGGCATTTCAAAAGCACTTAGTAAAACTTCAGAAATACTAGGGAATCCAGTGTGGGGAGGGCTGGGGCAGATGGGAGGCAGAGAAATGCTGTGCTAATAAGAACTTTGGGAAGTTTTTCAAAATTCACTTGACCATTCTTTTGAAACCAGAGTCCTTAACAAGCATTGAGATATATTTCTCCATGAAGGCCTGACGGTGAAAATTGGAGATTTTGGTTTGGCAACAGTCAAGTCACGCTGGAGTGGTTCTCAGCAGGTTGAACAACCCACTGGCTCTGTCCTGTGGATGGTGAGGAGGCTTGGCTCCCACTAGCAGGGTACAGGGCAGAAGGGGTGCCCTGGAGGTCTATGTGCAAACTTAACAGCATTTCCACTTCCCCAAAGTCCAGACCGCCTCAGTGGTGCCTTTAGTGACATCAGACCACCTGGGCAAATTTGGGTTTCCTGGGAGAAGCTGGTGATGAGAACTATGCTGAAGCATAGCTTGGAGGAGTTAGGTGATAGGAAGTGCTGGATCCCAGAGACTAGGACTCCTGAGCTCGTTTTAGCCTGACCTAAGAGTCAGAGCCCTTTGGGGAAGAGCTATAAAGGCCTGAGGAAAGGACTCGTTCATACCCAATGGAAGGGACAGCCTGGCTGCTGGATGTCTGTGAGGCCCAGCTTGTGACAAATGCACTTTGTCCCTCTAGGCCCCAGAGGTGATCCGAATGCAGGATAATAACCCGTTCAGCTTCCAGTCTGATGTCTATTCCTATGGCATTGTACTCTATGAGCTCATGACAGGGGAACTGCCTTACTCCCACATCAACAACCGAGATCAGGTACGTGCACTGGTGCTTAAGGACCTAACGTCACTGTGGAAGCCCCTGGGCCTCCTGCCAGTCTGAGCAGCAGGAGAGTTAGAAGTTGCTACTTTCACTGTTGTTCATCCACCCATTCCCTCAACTGTTTTCTTTGCCTTAGATCATCTTCATGGTGGGCCGAGGGTATGCCTCCCCAGACCTTAGTAAGCTATACAAGAACTGCCCCAAAGCAATGAAGAGGCTTGTAGCTGACTGCGTGAAGAAAGTTAAGGAAGAGAGGCCTCTTTTTCCCCAGGTAAGGCTTAGCTCAAGGTGCTGGAACTGATTAAAGCAGGAGTTCTTAATTAATGATAGAAATAAGGAGGGAAGTGTTTTTTTGTTTTTTTTTTTTTCCCTCTTAATAGGGAGGGAGTCGTGTTCTCCCTAAGATGTTGCGGGTGGGATGGGGAGAACAGCCTGTGTCTTTAGGCCCCTGATTGAAAGCTGCTGCTGTGGAAACACCAAGCCCCAGCTAATGAGACCATTTTCTGGCCGTGTTTCAGATCTTATCTTCCATCGAGCTGCTCCAACACTCTCTACCGAAAATCAACCGGAGCGCTTCTGAGCCATCCCTGCATCGGGCGGCGCACACCGAGGATATTAATGCCTGCACGTTGACCACGTCCCCTAGACTGCCTGTCTTCTAGCTGACTTCACACCTGCGCTCAGGCCACCAGGGGAGGAAGGGAAGTCAGCAGGCACCACCTTTCTGCTCCCTATCTATGGGGACAGAGCTCATCTTCAGAGAAGCTGCTGCTAAGGACCTTCTAGATTACTCACAGGGCCTTAACTTCATGTTGCCTTCTTTTCTATCCTTTCTGGCCCTGGGAGAAGGAAGCCATTCGCAATGCTGGTTTCTCCTGCTCCCTCCCTGCATCCCCACACTCATGAGCCAAGCCTTCTCCAGATGCACCAATGGCTACTGATGGCAATACATGATCTGGGGCCCCAGCTATTGGCTAAATGAGTATTTTTAGGGCAGGAAAAAGCACTCGGAGGGGAAATGAAGGTAGCAGGGCAGGCAAACTAGCCCTGATGTGGGGACACATGGATTTTGGAAATCAGCTCCTATGAGGAATGCTTATCACAGGAAGGACTTTTCTTCAGAGAGAGTGGTGTAGCACCAAACAAACAGGTAGTTTTGCACATAATGCACTAAACAGCCCAGGACTGTCAAGACCATGGCCGCCTGAAGAAGCCTGCTTTGGTACTATGGAACTTGACTTTGGGGACACTTTCTTTTCTTGGAGGTCTCCAGTGCATTGGGATGGTTTTCCCGAAGAGGCGCTTGGCCTGCCCCTCCCAGTCTCCGCCCTCTCAGGGAGCAGTCTTCCATCATGCTGAATTTAGTCTTCCAGGAGCTGCCCCTATGGGGCGGGGCCACCAGGCTAGCCTTGTCTCTCTACAGTCAGTCACATGTATACAAGGAAGCCAGGAATACAGGTTTTCTTGATGATTTGGGATTTAATTTTGTTTTTATTGCGCCTGACAACACCACAGTTATCCAATTGTTCCTCAATTATGTTATTTTAATAAAATAAATTAAATGTAGGTTTAATGGCCGTTCCCTCCTTTTAAAGTAATACTGAGCTCACAGCTTGAACTCTCCATGCGTTCATCCCTTCTGGAGCAGAACTCAACTCAAGAAGCAGGAAACAGGCCCAGAGCCTCCCCTGGGAATGAATTTAATTCAGCCTTTCTCTGTGCTCTTCATCACCCTCACCAAACAGTTTACACAAAAAGCACTCTAAACCCATGTAAAAGTAGATAGACCTTTTTCTACCCACACTTTAATGCATTTTATAAAATATTTGGTATCTACACCTGTTTATAAAAATAGGTAATTCAGGCTTGGAGTGAGTTTGTTCTGATTCAGAGTTATGCTCCTTCACTTAAAAATCACAACTGGTGACAGAAGACTTGTGCTCAGATCTCTTCAGGACCACTGCTGGGTCAGAACCAGAAACTTTCTTGGGTGCCATTAAAATTTTTCCAAAATTTCCAATCAAAGCTCAGCTTTACTGATGAGCCTAGATGGCTTGGGTAGGAGGGCATACATAACAGCACGTGTGCACTGAGCCACCAGCACGATTACCCTGGGGGCATGAGCCCACAAGTGAGAGACGGGACGTGTTTCCCTCGAGGCATGTGTGCAAGGCTTCCTCCAGTTGTGGCCCCAACAAATCAGAAATGTGCGGCCGTGCCTCTATTTTGCCACCCCATACTTCCTGCTACTTCAACAAGGCCCCCTTATGGGGAAAAAAGTTGAACTTTGTTTCTTGAACACATGGTAGCAAGACTCCTGCTCTGATTTGGGACACTGAAGAGCCCTAAATAAAGTTTTATGCTAAGGTGACTGCTTCTTGAAAAGTTCTGTATAAATCAAGTTTTTGACCACCCACTATTTAAGTACACTAGGGAAATGTATGATACAGGAATCCTTTATACAGCTGAAGACTCCTTTGGTAAGAAAAATGCATCTGCTGCTTTAAGTGCAGCTGCAGGTTGACTGTTTCTAGGGAGTCAAAGCTCAAGACAGACAGGAGCCAGGGGTGTTTTAAAAGCAGTCAGTCAAAATTCAGGCTGGCTGGTTAGCTGGTCCCCCCAAAGAGCTTGAGGTTCAACTAAGCTATCAACTATAAAAGTAGTGATTCCATATGCTCGTTAGGTTATTTTATATCCTTCACTCTTCCCACGGCTGTAATAATGGAGAGTGGATGACACCAAGGTTAAAAGTACAACCCCACTCAAATCACGCCACCTTGGACTGTATTAAAGGAAGCTCTGCACACCATAAACTTGGGGAAGGCTTGGCCGGCGGAGCCTAAGATGCAGGGGCGACCATCTACTCTTCAGGGTTCTGACGACTCCACTCCGGACAGGTGCATGAAGAGGTCCCCAAGTTCTGTCACGTCGACACCTTCAGTGTTGGGGACATGCTGGCTTTCTCGGTTCGCAATGAAATCCCAGAGCCGCACTGAATTAAAGAACTGCAAAAACAGCCAGTGAACATGCCTGGTTATTGCTAAAGGCAACATGAAGGCTGGGGAGCTTTTTTTTTTTTTTTGCTTACCCATCTCTGCTGCCACAGCCATCAGCAATGCCCATAGGTAAGTGTCTGATTAGAGATGGCCAAGTCCTTACCCTCACAGTGCCTTCAGAACTCAGCTGTTTCCGAGGTTTCTCCGGCTCTGCTAGCCGCCCATCAGGGTAAGCATGGCGGTAAAGGCATTTGCTTCCAAATGGGCAGGTCCCCTTGCCTTGCTCAAAGTATTTACAAGCTTTTTTTCTGAAAAGCAGAAAGAAAAAGTCGAGGATGGTGGGAGAATCTGGAGTCCAGATGAACCACTGCTTTCCTCCATCCCTGCCAGAGCTAGGTCAGCCTCATGTTACAGGTGGGAACTGAGGCTCAGAGAGGTTAAGATGCCGATTTCTAAGCTGGATAATATTCCCACTCTGACATACGGCCTCATGCAGAATTTTACGTGTGTGGGGATTCTGCTGTGTTTTGAGCCTGCGGTGCTCCAAAGGCCTTCAAGGGAATGTGGGCCTGACTGCCCCTCTGGGCCAGCTGTCTGGGTTCCTTGCCTCAGCTCAAAGTCCCAGTAGGAGCTCCACCCAGAAAAGCTTCCCTTCCTCCAGGCCAGCAATGATGTCAAGGTGACCACAGGAAGCCATGACTTAGGAGTCACAGGGAAAGCAATGAATTTTAGCAGCTGCCTCAAGTTACAGGTCTCATTCCAATTTTCCTTGGTCCCACCCTCTAGAGCAGAGCTTCTTAACTCTATGTGCTATGGACTCCTTCTCAGAACAGTATTTTCAAATGCAAAAAATAAAACACATAGGTCTACAAAATAGTTGTCAAAAAGTTAAAAATTTTTTCCCCTATCTTCGAATTCTACCCACAGACCCTTATGTTAAGAACCCTTGCTCCAGAGGAAACTCATAACCAAAAAGAATTCCCATTCCTTCTTGCTCACATAGAATTTGGCTTATATAGTCATAAATGATCCCGAGTTGAAGAGGAAGAGATGCCCAAGAATCCAGAGGGCCATCTGGGAGAACTGAGGAAGCGGCAGTTGCAGAAATGAAGCTAAATCACAGCAGAAAGGGCAGGCTGCTACCAGGGGCAGCTGAGGTGACGGTGGCAGATGACATGCGGGACTCCTTGACTCCAGTATTTTACTGTCTTCTCAGACAAGGAGACGGCAGAGACCCTGTGGTGAAGATCTCTGAGAAAGAGCTCATTGTTAGTGCCATCTAGTCGATTCTGACTCCTAGTGACCCTGTGTATGGCAGAGCAGAACCCTGCCCGGTCTTTTTTGCACCATCCTCTCACCTTCCGGCGCCATATCAGACAACGCTCTGCTGCTGTTCATAGGGTTTTCATGGGCAGTTTTTTTGGAAGTGGGTGGCCAGGTCCTTCTTCCTAGTCTGTCTTAGTCTGGAAGCTCTGCTGAAACCTGTCCACCATGGGTGACCCCGCTGGTATTTGAAATACCAGTGGCATAGCTTTCAACATCACAGCAACATGCAGCCGCCACAGTATGACAATCAACAGACAGGTGGTGTGGTCCCTGACCAGGAAACGAACCAGGGCCACAGAGGTGAGAGTGCCAAATCTTAACCACTAGACCACCAGGGCTGGCTGAGACAGACCCCGAGCAGCACGAAGAAAAGCTCCCTACCAGCTGTCCACAGAGGGAAGGAGCCTCCTTGCCTGCCTGGGCGCCTACTCTCACCAGGTCTGACTCAAGCCCAGGTGACTGGGGAGTTGTCTGAGCAGAGGTGTGTGGACCAGATACCTTCCAAGGCCCCTGTGCCCCTGCAGCTGTGAACAGATTTTCAAAGGATCACTCAAGCAGTGAGTTCTTACCAGAGTCTGCTGGACACTGGCTTTAATAAACTCATCAGGTTCAAAAACTTATTCTCTAGTCCCCACTCCCAAAATAATTGTTCTTTTTCTTCCCCCAGCCACTCCCTCTTTGTTCTCAGCTCTCACATCCAACTGTTATCTGCTTATAGAGCACCTCCCAAATTGACCCACAGTTCCCAGACTGTTGACCAGCAGGGGCGCCATCCTCTGCTGCCTGCCTGCCACAGTCACTTCTTAATTGGCCTCCCTTCCACCAGGTTCTAACCTCTTCACACTACCACAGAGGAGATTCCTTAAACTGTGTCACTTGTCACCCTGTTCTTCAAGACCATGGTCAAGCTGGGACTCAGGACCCCCTTAGACTTGACTCCAGTCTGTCTTTGTCTCTGAAGGTCCCACCATATCCTTCATACCTCTTTCAACCCCAGGGACCACTCCCACTGCTCCCCAAACACAGAATTTGCACCATTCTGTACCCATGTCATATCATAGGCTATTCATGCTTCATGATTCAGGGTTCCCATACTGCTTTCCCTGACACTTCCAGGTGGATCTGAGTGCTTTCTTTGTTGTGACATCTGGCTTAGGCCTCTCATGAAGAATTTGTCACCAAAAAACCTGTATCATAATTGTCTTTTTGCAGTTTCCCATGAAATTATCTTACTAATCTCTATATCTCCTATTGGTACTTAGCTTGAAGGTGCCTGGCCCGTAGTGGGTGCTCAGTAAATGTTTGTGGAATGCATAAAAACACCACCATCAGTGGAAACCAAGGCCAGCAAAGACCCAAACAGCAATAACATGAGAATTTGCAGACAACTCCAGCAGAGCTCCCATCTACCTTGCCACTCCTGCCCTCTGGTGGACACACAATGACACCACATAAAAAAAGGGTAAAACAGGAAAATAACAAGCCTTCAGTAATTGATACGCAACTTAAAGGAACCATTTAAAAAGGTAACATACAGTTCTGCTTTTAGTATGGCCAAGTAAACTTCTACTGGACCTGACCTCCCTGCAGATATCTAGAAACACAACTATTTCTAAAAGACTTGAAGGCCCTGGAGAACGAACAAAAGCAGGATTCTTCAAGAGATTAGACACCTGGAAGAAGGGGATGGCAAAAGGTGAGTTATCTTTTTTAGAAAAAGTAGCTTTTAGCCTAGAGCAGGACCAAGTCAGGTGTCTATGCAGGGTGGCTAAAACTCCAGTGGAAAATCCAGTTTTTCTGGCCTGAAGAATGAAAAGACAGATTGAGGAAATCAGCCATTGGAAAGTGAGGAAGCAATCCCACAAAGGGCCTGAGAGGGGAGAGCTCTAAATACTGGGTATCAACCCCACCCAAACCTCTGAACAACCCCTGAACTGCACATCACCGTGGCAGGCTCATGGCAACTCAGCTAAGGATAAGAGAATTGAATTAAGATTTGAACTGCTGCCCAAAGAGTTTGAGTCTAAACAATTTACCTGCCTATTAAAACAAAAACATCAGTGCTTTACAGATGAACCTAACAGAATCCAGAGTCTCTATCAGGTAACACTTACAATGTCTATGCTACAATCCAAAATGACTCAACACATGAAGAATCAGGAAAATGTGACCATTTTTAAGAGAAAAGACAATCAATAGAGACTAACTTCAAGAGGACAAAGATTTCAAAGCAGCTACTATAAAATG